GATAAACAAAAGCGATATGGTATCATACATAGCAGACTAGTAATTTGAACTGATGGTACATCACAAGCAAGGCTGCATAGGCCCTCGGCTTAACGAGCAGATCACAACACATGATCGGCGACAACACAATGGCCATCGCTCACAAATCACAAGGAGGCAACGAGGGCAACATGCAATACTTACCAAACCAATGCTAGAAAAAATGTCGTCGTTGCCTCGGTTAGCGCATGGTGGCGGAGGAAGGAGTTGACATGCCGAACCGAGTAACCTAAGTGGGTCTAGCACCATGCGGGGTGGTATGGGAGAACTGCTAGGGTAAAGTGAGGGAGTAGCTAGCAATTCGAATTCACAGTTCCCCAATTGTACTCGTAGACAACACCAAATCGTTATGATTCGAAAAAAATCCTTCCTCTTCTTGAAACAGGCTTTTGATCAGCTTTGCATTAAAGCAACATAACAAAGTAAGCATTTTTTACATAAAAACATTTTTACATTATAGGACGAATGGAGTAACAGTGATTATTGACGGCCAACCTTAGCTTGTCCACTAGCTAGCTGTGCATATCAGTTATCACAGTCATGTCCTTCAGACGAGTCACGATCGAGATTGCCGCCGGACAGTGAAGAGACGAGTCAAGGCAACAATGAGTGTACGTGCATGGCGTGCAATCGCTCTGAGTTGAATAGTCGCCGAGAGTACGCGTGTACGTACGTGCGAGGTTGTCACGTCCACATAATAATGGAACTAATGGAAAGGCGGTTAATTGTGTATCATGTGCTAGCTAGCTGTGGCTCTCGTCGCGTGTGTGCAAGAGAACGAGTAAACGACGATCCATGCATAGTAGTACTACAAGGCTAGCCGACAACGGAACGTTCGTCGTTTGTCTCACACGGATCCATCCATGTGAGCCTGAAGTCTAGCACGAACCACTTGTTTATCACATTCGCTAAATATCAAGCAAATGAAATTTTTTTGTTGGTTCAGCCGATTTTGCCGCATAGAAGAGACGCCGACACCGACCGATTTTCCCTGGCTTCGTCCCTGGTTCGAGTGCGGGGTTGCGACGAGGTTGTGGGTGGCAGAATTGTGAGGGGTATAGGGGTGCCTCTGTGTCTTGCTTACAGTGAGATGTAGGGAAGTCTTGTGTTTGGGGAGCGTCAGACGGGCCGGCCCAGGCGTGCTAGAGGCCACGGCCTCATTTCTTTGTTTTTTCCATGTTTTTATTTCATTTTTCTTTTTTTTTACTTTTGTTTATACTTCTAAATATTATAAATAAATATATTAAAATGCATAAAGCATTTGAAAAATATGCTAATCGAGTATTTTAAAAATGTTAACTCTTTATAGAGAAATGTTTATAATGTATAAGAAAAATGTATACAGAAAATATTAAACGTGGTGAAAAAGTTGATCACGTATTTAAAAATATGTATCAAGCATTTAAAAACATTAAAAAAGTATTTGAATAAGGTTAATCAAGCATTTGAAAAGTGTCAAATTTGTATAGAAACAATGTTGACCATGTATTAAAAAAAATTAATTTTGTGTTGTACTAAAAAAATTCTAAACTAGTATTTGAAATGTTAATCAAGCATTTGAAAATGTTAAATGTATATAAAAAAATTTGCTCATGTACTATAAGCATATTAATCTTGCATTTGATAAAATGTTAATTAAGAATTTGAAGAATGTTAAATGTGTGTAGAAAAAATGTTGAGCATGTATTAAAAAATGTTAATTCTGTCTTTGAAAATGTAGTCAAGCATATCAAAATGTTTTAAATGTGTATATAATTTTTGGACCATGTATTCAAAAAAATTAACCTTGTATTTGAAGAATATGAATTAAGAAGTTAAAAAATGTTAAAAATATGTATAGAAACAAATGTTGAACATGTATTAAAAAATGTTCAACTTGTATTTGAAAAATATTAAATGTGTATAAGGAAAATGGTCTTGACGTATACGAAAATGTAGAATGAAAATCAAAAGAACAAAGAAAAATGAAAAACCATGAAAGACAAAAAAGAACAAAAGAAACCAAAGAAAAAAGAAAGAATGGAAAAACAGTGAAAGACTATAAATAAACAAAGAGAAAAAGATCATTGAAAACCAAGAAATAAAAAAAAGCTAGAAAAGAAGGAAAATCAGAAAGAAAGAAAACTGATAAAAACCATGAAAGAAACAAACAAAAGAAAAGAAAAACAAAAAATGAAATATAATGATAAAAAAGAATAGCAAGAAGAAATATTTAAACCAAACAGAAAACAAAAGAAAATGAAAACTAGAATTTGTTTTGGAGAAAACCTATAGCGACCGAACCTGCAGCGCACAAGCGGCAGCAGCGAACCTACACTGATGGACGGCCCATATGCAAGCACCTGCGGCGAGAGGAGCTTCCACGCTCGACGCGGGAGAAGCTATCGTCTCACTATAAGCGAGACATAGCTCTCGCGGCGGTATAGAGGGATGGTTGCAGGAGACAGCTCAGGCAAGGTAGGGCCGCTAGGCTTGCGGGGTACGACCGCTGATTACAGGAGTAGGCGATTGGACCAGTGGGATGAGGGAAAAATTGTTCACATTGGCAATTTGAAGAGCAACAAATAATTCTTCGGGAAGTTGAAGATGGAGCACGCCGATCTGTTGGATTTTAATTCCAACCATGTTATTTTATGCGGTCCCTTTATGTATTTTCCACCGTGATTTCAATCCACCATGGTTTGGGAAAATGAGTATTATTAAGTTCTCAGTGGTTTGTATGGAGTTTTGCCAGAAAAACAGAAAGTCTGATTTTAGCCATAGCAAACATACGCTTTTCATAATAATTCATATTGGTGCGAGGATGGCAAAATTAGTTTGCAAACATGGATATATTCTGGCGAAAAATGAAATCCGGCGGACTTGTCATGCTCACCAACTAAACTTGTCATCCTCAACGAACACAAATTTCCATGAAAACGTTAATCTTTTTCATGACTAAAAATCTAACGTTCGTTGGATATCTGGGTAAAAAAAATAGCTTCCAGAGGAAATGTTGGTACAGATAGTCACCACAAAAATATGTGGCTGAAAAGAAATAGTACTAGCAATTCGGTATGCGTCATGTCCCACGATTTTCATGCTGGCTGAGTCAGCTATGTTGCTGGGTGCCTAGGTGTAGCTCGCCTATAAATTGGCACGTATTCTGGCTACTCTCAAACAGCAAGCAGCAGTAAGTTTATTGGCTACTGCAGCTTAGAAGTACTAACCTCGTTGCCTAGCTCTCGCTGCCAAGTGCCAAGCTCTCAAACTAGTGCGCACCATGGCGTGGCAATTGCAGCAAACAATGGCCACGATGAGTACATGCTTTCCGACGTCCTCGCCGGCAACGGTGCGCTGTGCCGCGGCGGCTCGGCGGTCTGCCAACTACGCTCCCAGCTCCTGGGATTACGACTCCCTCCTCCAGCTCTCGCCCAACAATGGCGGACAGGCAGATCAAGTACATTTATCAGCTGAACATATCGTATTTTCAACCGGGCAAGTAGTACATAAAGTAGATGAATTACTCATGGAAATTTATTCCGTGCATGCATAGATGATGTCACAGGTCGATAAGTTGAAGGCTGGCGTGAGGGAGCGGCTGGTGGCGGCGAGCCGAGGCGACCACCAAGCTGCGAAGCTCGGGCTTGTCGACACGGTGCAACGGCTCGGCATCGCCTACCATTTTGAGGAGGAGATCGCCGGTATCCTCAGCTCCGTCCACCACAAGCGTCACCGGTGCAACTGGGCCAGCGACCCCAGTGATGTTGCTTCCGCGGCCTTGAGGTTCAGGTTGCTCAGGGAGAGTGGTTTCCCCGTCCTCTTCCCTCCAGGTACCTCCTGAAATATGAAATATGGAAAACAGACACTTCGACGATGTAAGAAAGGAACCTAAAACTACCGCTAAATTTTTGGAAAATAAACATATCTGCACCAAATGCATGGTCCAGAATCAATCACAGTTTAAACTTTGACTTGTGTGTATGGCACGGTTTCATATACTTATGTACTTAACTGACATTGTTTCGCTAATTTTTTTAAATAATACATTTTTTTATTAATTTTCATAAATATTACACCGGATAAAAAATTTCAAAAATAATACACCGTCGGCCCGCTGCAGGCCGACTGGGTCTAGTCGGCCCACAGCAGGCCGATTGGATTCCAGTCGGCCTACAGCTGGCCCACTGGCCCCTGTCGGCCCACTGTGGGCTGATTGCGTCCTGTCGGCCCACTGTGGGCCGACTGGAGCTAATTGGCATAAAAAATATATGTTTAAAAAAATGTTAATCATGTAATTAAAAAATGTTAAGCGTGTATAAAAAATGTTCCTGATGTATGCAAAAAATGTACAATATATATGCACAAATGTTGACATAAAAAATATGTTTTGAAAAGTGTTAAACATGTATTTAAAAATTGTTAAATGTGTGTATAAAAAATGTTCCTTATTTATACAAAAAATATAGCATGTGTATGAAAAAAAGTTGATACCAAAAAATTATGTTTGAAAAGTTGACATTTTTTCAAATACATGATTAAAAATTGTTAAATGTGTGTATAAAAAATGTTCCTTATCTATAAAAAAAATATAAGATGTGTATGAAAAAAAGTTGACACCAAAAAAATATGTTTGAAAAAAACGTTCCAGTTCCATACAAAAAGAGCAACCAATCATATTTTTTTTCACAACCTTGATTTATTTTTTGTCACCAACTCACCAACATAATTTTTTGGTGTCAACTTTTTTTCATACACATTCTATATTTTTTGTATAAACAGGAACATTTTTATACACATATTTAACAATTTTTAAATACATGATTAACAATTTTTAAATACATGATTAACACTTTTTAAATACATGATTAACACATATTTAAAAATGTTCCGACGATGTACATGGACTCCTCTCACTCTACGAGGCTTCATACCTTGCGTTCGGAGGCGAGGAAACACTGGATGAGGCAAGAACATTTTCCATGAAAGCCCTCATAAAGCTCTTGCCATCCATGGATTACCACTTACGGCGCGCTGTAGTTCGTTCTTTGGACCTTCCGTTGCACCGGAGGTCTCCTAGACTAGAGGCAAGATGGTTCATAGATCACTATGCTAGAGATGAGAGCAATTCCGACCCATTGCTCGTTAGATTTGCAACGACGGACTTCAACAATGTGCAAAGTTTGCATCAGGAAGAACTCGCAAGACTGGCAAGGTAACTGAGCGTGAAGAGACGTGCATCTAAATAAGACCGGTAATTAATTCACATAGTTGATGGGTTTTTGAGACTAAAATTGACCTAATTAATTCTAGGTGGTGGAAGGGGACCGCCCTTAGTGAAAAATTAGGGTTCGCCAGGGATCGTTTCATGGAGTGCTTCCATTACGCAAATGGAATTGTGTGGGAGCCAAACAATGGAGCATGTCGAGAAGTGCTTGCTAAAGTCGCCAATCTAATAGTTCACTTAGATGATGTTTATGATGTATATGGAACTCTAGATGAACTTGTTCTCTTCACCGACGCCATTGGAAGGTAACTATATGTTTAGCATGTGTAACATATATATGACATGTTAGTTTCACATTAAATGAAGCTTTTCCATTATCTAAAATTAATAAATAATTTCAGGTGGGAAGAAAGTCCTAGTGAAAGACTCCCCGAATACATGCAAGCACTATATTCCGTGATGTACAACACATCGGCTGAGGTGGCTGAAAATGTGTTGGAACAACATGGTTGTGATGCTCGTCATGTTCTTCAGAAAGCAGTAAGTTCATATACTGCTCATAGGATATAAATTATTTTCACAAGGAACCGTAAAAAACTCTGCATGATTTTGCAGTGGCGAGATATGGCGGAGTCTTTCTTGGTGGAGGCAAAGTGGCACCATGGAAACCACAGACCAACATTGCGTGAGTATCTGGACAACGGATCAATTTCATCCTCTGCTCCACTGCTGCTGCAACATGCGTTTCCCCTGCTCCACATGGAAGAAAAGCTTACCCCAATGTCTCTTGCTAAAGTTGGAAGCTACCCTAAATTAGTTGAGTCTGGGTCATTAGTTCTTCGTCTCTGCAACCCACTTTGTAAGCACAACCTATTCGGGTTTTTTTGTCTCGTAATATTTCAATTGCCAAATCGAATATTGATGTGAGGTGTCTTATGATATTTATTTCTATGTTTTGTCAAAATATGTATAACAAGCTGAGCTGGAGCGAGGGGATGCACCATCATCAATAGCTATTCACATGTCAGAGAACAGCTCCAATGAGCAAGAGTCTCGCGAAGCCATGGAAGATCTTATCATGGAAGCTTGGAAGTCGATTAACGAAGATGCATTCAAACACTGCCAATTTTCTAGATCTTTTGCCAAGACTTGCGTGAATTTGGCTCGAATCTCACATTGTGTTTACCAAGGTGGGGATGGTTTTGGTGCGCCGGATGGTCAGAAGAGAAGGCAAATAAGAGAGTTATACTTGGACTCTTTCATTAGTGAGAAACATTAAACGATGGAAGCCCTTAAAAATTAAGCTGCCTCTCCCCAGCTTAAAAAATAAGTCACGCTCTAAGTTTGCTGAGACTTCTAAGTTAGTTATCCATAACTAGTTTAGAAGCCCCAATGAACAAGAGAGGCGGCTTATGAGAAAAGTTGGGGAGAGGGTGGCTTATTTTTTAAGCTACCAAAAGAACTGGCTTGTTATACATGCTTCATAATCTGTAGGTACTGATTCTGATTTCTGTTTTGTACTACTAAAACTGTAGAACAAATAGTGGCTGGGTGATTAACTAGCACCATTTGGTGGTCTTGATTTACAAAGCTAAGTATCGAGTTCAATCTGCTCCGTAACAAGATATGATTGGTTGTTAGCAACTTTCAGTAATCTAAAGTACTTTACACTTATGTAACATTGCTTCAAAAAGAAGGTACCATGGCCGTAAAAGGCAAGGTGGTGTGTGATGTGTCCTGTATTCATCCTCCTAGTTAATACGAGCCATTCATTTGAGAACACAAAATGCTTCAACCGGAGCGAGAAATAAAATGTTTTCGGAGTTGAGGCACAGATAAAGGATAAACAAACACCATTTCATCCAAGAGACATCTGGGAATACTTTACACATTATGGAAGAAATAGGCAGCCTAACATCATCAGCTATTAGAATAATTAAGCTACACATGTCAATGACTGAGTCAAGGGTTGTTGTGTCTTGTGTCTGATCTTGAATAGACGCGCTGATAACTGAACTTGAGCATCAACTTCGACAACTAAGTATCTTCCAACGACAAAAAACATGAACGAAGCCACCGACCCTTTCTTCCTTACATGGCCCCAAGGGAGGGAATGTCTCGCTTGGATCAAAACCTTGATGGCTCCAGTATATACGTTTGAAAAACAAGCAAGTTAATTATGTAACGTGCGAATTATCAGTAGCTGGTGGAGACAACGTATGTCCACGTATGGGTCCACGCTGTGCGCAGCTGGACAACGATGGAAGGGAATAATCCTACGATGTTGTCGCATTTTTTTAGGACAGTATAACCGAGCCACTTCCCTGCCCTCTCACGACCTCACAAGTTTTGGCCGTCCATTCTTGTGATTGAGACATTTTTAGCCGGTAGATCTGTTGTCCTAAAGGGCTGCTTCTCCACAGGATTTTTCTGAGCTCTCTGGTTAACTGGGCCATTTCACCCAGCCCAATCTTCTAGAAAGGCCCGGATCCGTCCGTCCTGGAGACCACCGAATGATCGTTTTTCCTCCCTAAGAAAAAAATCACTCGGTGGCGTGAGGGGTGAAGAGGATCCATCCATCGTTGCGAGAGAGAGAGAGAGAGGGTCGTCGCAGGAGAGATGGGATCTAGGAAGCCGATGCAGACCGGACCTGCTAGACAGAGAGGAGGGCATGGGTCCATCGGTGTGCGTGAGGGAGAGGACGAGACTCAGCCACTGCAGGCGATTCAGACCGGTGATGGCTCCTCGTTTCTGCGAAATTGCTTCGCTGAATAATCATTCTTCAGTTTCTCTGCGCACATTCATGACGGGTGATGTCTCCATCGTTTCCGCTGCCTCGGGGTACAAGTACCTCTGTATATATTCTTCGAGCCTCCGTTCACAGTTAACCAGCTGTCCCCGGAGCCAGCCGCCGGTGAGCCACACACTAATCTTGCGCATCCTGTTTTCGCCCTACATCCTCTCTTCTCTATGCCCAATTTCCTACTCTGATCTTTTGCAGGGACATGCCATCGTGCTTCTCTGACTTCCACTGTAGTGTTTTCTGGATTCTTTGTGATCTCGGATTCCATCTAACCATCCTGACTACCTAGGTGTGTGGTAAAATCCTGTTACCCATGGCCATATGGGGGCTGCAAGGTCGTGCTATTCCTTCTGCTCGTTGGGGAGGTGGTCCTTCTTTTCTTGATATGTTGTGATGATTTTTCAGACAATTGGCTATGTAATGGTTATAGAAATTTAGGAGATGAAGTATTGGGCATATGCAGCAATGAAGGCTTAAAGCGGAGTTTCTAGCAGACCTTGTTCGAATTTGTGGGTCAGAGCAGTTGCCGATTTTAGTTGGAGGTGATTTCAATATCATCAGGAGGAGAGAGGAGAAGAACAATGATAACTTTGACGGCAGATGGTCCTTCATGTTCAACACCATTATTGAAAGCTTGGATCTGAGAGAGATAGAGCTCTCGGGTCGAAAGTTTACATGGGCTAACAATCTGCCAAACCCAACCTACGAAAAACTTGATCGAGTTCTTGCAAGTGTGGAGTGGGAACAAAAATTCCCGCTGGTTACGGTGCAAGCTCTTTCGAGGGGAATATCTGATCATACCCCATTGTTCGTGGACTCAGGGGAGCCGAACCATGTGGGTAACAAGAACACCTTCTCCTTTGAGACGTCATGGTTTGAACGTGAGGGTTTCTTAGATTTGATAGCCAGGGAATGGGTTAAAGATGTTCGAGGCAAAACTCCTATTGAGCGGTGGCAGAATAAGATTAGGAACTTGAGAAGCTTCTTACGGGGTTGGGCTAAGCACCTTAGCGGTGTGTATAAGATTGAAAAGGATAGACTCCTTTCTCTTATACACGACCTGGACATAAAGGCCGAATCCAATATTTTGTCACCAGCAGAGCTTCAGGTTAAAAATGAGGCGGAGAAGAGGTTAAAAGAACTACTCCGCGAAGAAGAACTGAAGTGGGCTTTACGTGCTAAAGTAAGCAAAGTGGTCCAGGGGGACGCGAATACTCAGTTCTTCCATCTAATAGCTAATGGCAAACACAGAAAGAAGCGAATCTTTCAGCTTGAGCAGGACGAGGGTACTATTTTAGGTCAGGATAACCTAAAAACTTACATTACCGACTATTATAAGCAGTTATTTGGACCACCGGAGGATAATACGGTGTCCCTCGATGAGTTCAGAACTGAGGATGTACCTCAGCTATCGGCTGCTGATAATGAGCTTCTGGTTGCCCCGTTCTCGGAGAAGGAGGTTTTTGATGCTATTGCACAGATGAAAAATAATAAGGCTCCCGGACCGGATGGTTTCCCGGTTGAGTTCTATAAGAAGTGCTGGCACATTATTAAGGGGGATTTACTACCTATGTTTCATGATCTATTCTCTGGACAGCTTCAATTATTCCACTTGAATTTTGGGACTATCACACTACTTCCTAAGAAGACGGATGCGGTCAGAATTGAGCAATTCAGGCCGATCTGTCTCCTTAATGTTAGTTTCAAAATTTTCACCAAGGTCGGGACTAACAGGCTCACACAGATTGCACATTCTGTGGTGCAACAGTCCCAAACCGCGTTCATGCCAGACAGAAATATCCTTGAAGGGGTGGTAGTCCTGCATGAAACGCTCCATGAAATCCACTCCAAAAAATTAGATGGAGTGATTTTTAAAGTGGATTTCGACAAAGCGTATGATAAGGTCAAGTGGCCATTTCTCCAACAGTCTTTGCGTATGAAAGGTTTTGATGAAGCCTGGCGCAGACAGGTTCAATCATTTACGCAAAAAGGTAGTGTGGGAATTAGAGTTAATGATGACATAGGTCACTACTTCCAGACACATAAAGGCCTAAGACAAGGAGACCCGATGTCCCCTATCTTGTTTAACATTGTGGTGGATATGTTGGCAGTTTTGATAGGAAGGGCTAAGGAAAATGGTCAAGTAGGTGGATTGGTGCCTCATCTTATTGATGGAGGTGTCTCTATCCTACAGTACGCTGATGATACAATCATCTTTATGGAGCATGACTTGGCTAAGGCAAGAAATATGAAGCTGGTGTTATGCCTATTTGAACAATTGACCGGGTTAAAGATAAACTTTCATAAGAGCGAGCTGTTCTGTTTTGGTAGGGCCAAAGATGAACAGGATGCTTATAGGCAATTGTTTGGATGTGAGTTGGGAGAGCTACCATTCTCATACTTGGGGATTCCTATCCACCATCGTAGGCTAACAAACAGAGAATGGAAGTGCATCGAGGACCGATTTGAGAAGAAAATGAGTTGCTGGAAGGGCAAGCTCATGTCATATGGAGGCCGATTAATCCTAATTAATTCGGTGCTCACGAGTATGCCGATGTTTCTTCTTTCTTTCTTTGAGGTACCAGTTGGTGTTAGGAAGAGACTGGACTTCTATAGATCACGGTTCTTTTGGCAGGGTGATGAGCTTAAAAGAAAATATAGGCTTGCTAAGTGGGATATCATCTGTAGACCGAAAGACCAAGGGGGTCTAGGTATTGAGAATCTCGAAATTAAGAATAAATGCCTTCTTAGCAAGTGGCTGTGGAAGCTTTCGTCGGAGAATGATGCTATGTGGGCACAGATCCTTCGCGGCAAGTACCTCCAGTCAAAAACTTTGGCACAGGTCTCTGTAAGGCCGACCGACTCGCCCTTCTGGAAGGGTCTCATGAAGGTCAAGCAGGCATTGTTTAATAGGACAAAGTTTGTTGTTGGAAACGGCACGAGTACACGTTTCTGGGAAGATACTTGGCTCGGTGACACACCCTTGGCCATCCAATATCCCTCTTTGTACCGCATTGTTCAACGACGTGAGGTGTTCGTTGCTTCGGTCTTACAATCTACCCCCCTTAATATTCAGTTCAGACGAGTGCTAGCGGGCAATCGTTGGGAAGAATGGCTCCGTCTAGTTAGGAGACTGATGGACGTCCAGCTTTCTCAACAACCCGATGAATTACGCTGGAAGTTGACTAAGTCTGGAGCATTCACGGTTAAATCAATGTATATTGATGTTATTAATTCGAACTCCATTCCTACGTCCAAACATGTTTGGGATGTCAAAGTTCCTTTGAAAATAAAAGTGTTTATGTGGTTTGTTCATAAACAAGTAATTTTAACTAAGGATAACTTGATGAAGCGTAATTGGACAGGACCTACTAGGTGTAGTTTCTGCGATCGGGATGAGACTATTAAACACCTCTTTTTTGATTGCCTGCTGGCTAAGGTACTTTGGCAGACGGTCCACATTGCTTTCAATATCA